TGCGGAAATTCATCAAAGATCCTCAGACAACGCCTTCCAAACCCATGACCACTTACATCTAGAAGGATAAGGGTAGCAGACATATGGGAACACCACCACCTTCAAGTTCCCCTCCAAGCCACTCACCATCCTGACTTGGAAATACATGGCTGTTTCTTCACTGTCCCTTGGTAAAAATCCTGGAATTCCCTCCGTAATAGCATTGTGGGTCAACCTACAGGTGGTGCACTGCAGTGGTTCAAGAAGGCAGCTCACCACCACCTTCTCAAGGGCAACTAGGGATGGGCAAGAAATGCTGGCCAGTTAGCGATGTCCACATCCCACAAATTAATTAAAATTAAAAAAATAACTGCCACAAAGAATACCACAGGCACTCTTTGGTTTATGAAGGCAGCCTACCAACATCTCCTCATGGTATCTAAATGAAGATAAAGTCACTTTAGTCTTACAAGACCATTAGAAAGAGAGACAGCTGGTGGTGGTTTAATCTGAGGGTCACCATGCCTTAAGCAAGGGGCAAGATTGGGGAGGATAGTCCTTCTTGGTAACCTCAGCCAGTGTGGGAATTGAACCCACACTGTTGGCAATATTCTGCTCTCAAGCCAGCACACAGCCAACTGAGCCAGCCAAGTGCCAGAGAGTCACTGGAAGAGCATTGACTGGAGTTGTATGTTGGAATCAGGCAAAATCCCTGATACGGTAGACTCCAATGATTTGCCCAGTAAGTTAAATTTTCCGATGTGCAATTTCTCTACATCTGCAACTGTCTAAAAGAGCTCAAAATAAGTCAGAGAATTTGGATGGTTGTAACTCATTTAACCTTAATAGTTACCAAGAAACAAATAGAGTATTAAATACTTTAATATTCTATTCCCTTTGAAATAAAGGTTAACATTCCATTAACCTTCTTTATCATCTGCTGAATTTGTATACTAGCTTTTTTGTGATTTATGCATGGAGAAGCCAAAGTCCCTTTCTGCTGTAGCTTTCTGCCCTTTTTTTCTGTTTAAATAATATTCAACTCCGCGCTATTCTTCCTACCAGAGTGCACAACTTTATATTTTCCCACATTATATTCCTTTTGCCACTTTTTGTTCACTTGCTTAACCTGTCTGTATCTCTCTGCAGATTCTTTGTGTCACCTTCACTACTTGCCTTCCCACCTACTTTTATTTTATCTGTAAACTTGGCTATTGTATATTCATTTTCCTCATCTAATATATATTGTAAATAATTGTGGTCCCAGTACTGATCCCTTTAGCACTCCACCACTTTCAAGTTGTCATCTTAAAAATATTTCTTTATTCTGCTATCTGTCTTCTGTTAGTATACCACAAACACCATAGGCTGTTATCGTATTGAGTATTAACTAAATATATTCTGGAAATCCAAAAATATTTCAACTGCTGCTTCCCCTTTATAAATCCTGTTTGTTACTTCCACCAATTATCAAATGATTGCCATTGTCACAGATTGTACAGGATTAAATTACAATCAGAACAAGAAGCTGGAGCAGATTAATCTTGAAGCCCGAAGGAGTTTTCACTTTGTGCTCCTCTTTCCACTCTTCAGTTGTTTCTCGTCAGCCTGATGGGGCACAGTCCTTCAGCATGGCCTGTTGTTAGTTCCATTTTTCCTACTGTTATGACCAAGTTGGGACCTTGAACCCCATCTGTTTGGCACCCCTTCCCACTTGGCATCTGACCCACCTGGTACTCTACCTCTACTCATTTGGCATCGTACCTCTGTCATGCTATCTGCTCCACACCTGGCACACTCCTAACTGGCACCCTCCCCTGTCCTGGCCAACTGGCACTCAATCCTCCCCAAATCTCACAACTTTAAATTTCAGAGTATGGAAGCTGACTGCTATGAAAGGGAGCCTGGTTTTCTAATTGTGCTTAAATGCAGTGCTGAAAGTACATGTGTGCGGTGGACAAGACCACCTTCAAAAGTCGCCAAATGCCAAAGAAAATTTATTTTTGGGGCACCTGATAAAGCAAAGATTCTCCCCTTCCATAAATAAAAAGGCAGGAAATGGATGTAAGCTACTTCTCCAATCACAGACTGTTCATCTATGAACCAAGCACCAACTTGTTAGCAGTTAGCCAGCAGTTAGGAAGGTAATTGTTGACTCTTAGGGAGTTGTCATCGACCAGGGACCGAGGTCAGGATGGAGAACTTGTCAAGTCTGATATGCAGAGCTGAATGCCGCCCTTTGCCAAGGCAAGAAGGGCCTTTTGAGAGATCCACCTGACAAGTCTGGGGAAATTGGGACATTGGGAGGAATTAACTGCAGGAGGGTTTGGGGAGGAAGAAGCATGCAGTAAGGGACAGGTGAGGGATTGATGGAGGAGAGATGGAAGCTGCTAGAGAGGTAAGGAAGAAAGAGGCTGTGAAGAGGATGGGTGAGAAGGAGAAACAGGCTGCAAGGGGGTTGGGAGAAGGAGACCCCAAGGTATGGTGTGGTGGGGAAAGAAGGTACGTGCAAAGGAGGACTAGGAAGAAGAAGGTAGCTGTATGTGTGCAGGAGTCAGGAGAAGGAGATTGCAAGGTTGGGTGTGGGGAGGTTGAAAGAGAGAGCAAACAGTTTTAAATCTGTCAGCAAAGGAGTTTAAAGTTTTAAAAATACTGTGATAGTGAATTCCTTGCAAATAAATGTTGAATCTCTGGTTTAAGATTGCATAAGTTCAGGAGTTACTATACTTAGAAGGGGAGGGAAAGAAAAGGTATAGTGGATCCCATTGTAATGAACACTATGTCATATGTTAAATTCAGACTGAGATTGAAATCCAAAATGCAGTCAGTAAAGTTGTAACTGCCTCATTAAAATGTTCCAGCTTTGTACATGTGTGTTGGTAAAGTATTAGACTCACAAGACTCTGAAAGGTGTGTTTGGGATGATGACTGCAAGTGTAGAAGTTATTTGGTTGAATCTTTTGTTAATTTATGCCTGTTACCTTGTATCAATTCAAACACTGTTAAAACCAGCATTTGTGTGTCATTCCTAATTGCAATTGAACTGAATGGCTGTTTAGGCTATTTAAGATGTGTATGTAAGAGTCATAGACATCACTGAAAATCTGGAGTGACATGCACTCCAGAGCAAGTAGGATGGCCACTTTCCTTTCTTAAAGAATGTTCATGAATCTGATGGGTTTTTTTGTGACAATTGATGGAAGCATGGCACCGCTACTGAGACTAGCTTTATATTCTGGATTTATTAATTGAATTTAGATTCCACCAGCTGCTATGGTAGCATTGGAGCCCATGCTCCTACAGCATTAGTTTGGTCTCTGGATTCCTAGTCCAGTGACAGTAAGTGAGTTTCTAAGATGCTGATGTTTAATTTCATGGTCAAAGAAGAAAATAGGATAATATTGTTCAACAGACATATGGCTAAATTTAGGTGAGCAACATACAATGGACTGGTGAATTGAGGAACACGCAGATGTTGTTAATTGAAATTTCACCATGATAAATTCTGAGATTTCATTTTAAGAATATAGTTTTCTTTGTCCTGGCCCCAAAAGATTGCTGTGAAACCTAGCTCGTTCACTACCTCCTTACCTGCTCCATCATCCAAGTTCAGTTCCACAAAGTGCTTTTGAGTCTTGAGACCTAGAGAACACCTTCAGATTGGCAGTGAATGCTACCTTGCCAAAGTTTCTCAATTGACAAGAATCAATAAATAAACATAAAACGTCTTTAGTGGCCTAAAGTACATAAGCTGTAGAATAACAAACACTCTTTTCAAATGCAGCAAACTGTAAGCACCTAACACAGTAATGGCTCAAGAAACCTCAGCATAGTTTGGACCTTTGGCATCAGGCTCAGTGAATTTAAAGAAACAAGCCAATTCAGATCATTAAAGGGATGGTCCAAATCACAGAAACCTGACAATACTTCCAGTACTGTGAACTTGGATACCTAGTTTTATAAAATAAGTTTTTATTGTCTTGAAATATTGCTTCATTCATCAAATTTAAGCGCATCATTTGATTTGACATATCAAAATATTCTGTTTTAAGTTTCGAAGTGAGTGAGTAAGTACAGATGTCAATAAGGTTCACTATCTTGATTTTCCTTAAGCTACTGTCTTATTGACTTATTGTTCATTCCTGTAGATGAGCTTGACAGTTACATGTATCAGACTGTGGGACATGAAGCTATAGATCTATATTCTGAAGCAATTGGCTTGCCACTGTACCGTCACATTATCCAAGGTAGCAGTCTGGCAATTGGAAGAGATTACAAAAAGTGTGAAGGCGATGAAGTGGAAGACCTTTACCATCTTCTGAAACCTATTAAGGTACTGATAAGAATATTTTGAATATTTTTGATGAGTTTTCTTGTAAATATTAATGAACTTTACCATCATATTTCTTTCACATAAGGAGTAATAGTATTTTTGACAAATATACGTCATAAAACTTATATTTTGGTCTTGAAATACATAAATCAGAGGGCATATCTTGCAGTTCATGACTGTACAATAAATGCTGGTTTGATACATGTTCTACATTGTATTTTATATGCTTGCATTTGTTCAAATTTGATAAATGAGTCGCTTCTCAGTGTATTTTATCCTGAACCTGCATTAGCAGACAAAAGGAATCAAAAATTTTGTTCTGTGTTCATCAATAATTGATTGTTAGCATAAAACAATTTGATATGTTTTTCACAATACTGGTAAACTCTTTTTAAAAAATGCTGCTATTCTTAGGTACATTTATCTTCCTTAACATAAGAAATACCAGTCTCACAGTAGATTGGTAAGTAGTGTTGATTTAATTTATCTGAAAATCTTTTAACAGGTTTTCTTAACACACAAACTGATAACTAGGAGATACAGAGTAACTTCTTTATACATCCTTAGTGTAGCATGCTGCTGCTTGGAATCTCATGACTGCTTGTCATGTGCTGTCATCCTGGTTCTTGTCTCATTCGCATGCTCGGTTCTTAAAAATGTAACATTGCATCCCCATTTTTCCCAAGGTAAAATTATCTTCTCTAAGAGTAAAAATACATGTATATTTGGTAATTGCAAAACTATTTACACAGATACATGATTTGTAAAATTTACAAGTTTGAGTCTATATACAAACAGATGGTTTGTCAATTCTTCTGAGTCTTCTAGTAATATTACTTTCTGGATTTTTAGACATCACATTTGGCTTTTTTAAAACTTGTGTGTTGGTCTCTTGTGTGTTGGTACAGTGCTGGTTGTAGTCTAAACTGTCTTACAGAGCTTCATGATCCCAGTTTATCTTTGTGTACGTTCAATCACAGTTGGAGTATTGTACAATTCCCTGAGCTGGCTTCTGTTTCTCCTCAACATTGCTCTATTAGATAACACAGTGTGGAGCTGGAGGAACACAGCAGGCCAGGCAGCATCAGAGGAACAGGAAAGCTGACGTTTCGGGTCGGGAC